AAGGTGACCAAAAAAATATCAGAAGTTGCGTCTGGCCTGGCAGAATTTATTATCAAAGTTGATTCTAAAGTGGAAGAATTTAAATCAGAAGTTAATGTCAAGATGAAAGATAATGACTATAAGATTTCTGATGTGGATGATAAAATGCAGAAAGTTGAGAACGAAATTGTTATGATGCAATTCAGGGCAATGGAATTCGCTATATGGCTTCGAGGAATCCGAGAAGATGACAGACAGGATTTGAGACAGATCTGCTCTGAGGCCTTGGCTGTGATTTTAAAAATTAATCCTGATGTGGTTTTTTACAAAATAGATAAAATTTACAGAGTGAATTCTTGGGTGGCCAGACAAAGACAACTGCCTAGAGATGTGGTCATATATTTTACAGATAGAGCAATAAGGAATGACATCCTGCAAAAATCCTTTCATACTTCTGTACAAGTGGGGGGCTCACAAATTGGAGTCTTTAAAGAGTTACCACCTAAAATGTTGAAAACCAGAAAGGACTTTGGCTTTCTTGTTAAAGAATTGCAAAACCAACAGATACCATTTCGATGGGATGCCCCAACTGGTATAATTTTGAGATACAAGGGAGAAAGACATCGCTTGAACACTGTGGAGAAGGCGGAGCATTTTTACACTACTATTTTTAAAGAAAGAACACCATGTCCGCGTACATCCACAGTTCTGGAGATCAAGGAGAGTGATAAGAAGCAACTTCAACAAGAACTTCAAGAACAGTCTAAGCAGGAACCAGAGGAAACGCAGGGCGCTGAAGGAGGTTTTCTGGATGAGCCTTTGCTGGAATCTTCTCCAATTTTGGACCCGGTTCAGATGGCTGAATTTAAGGATCAGCGTATAACTCGAGCTAAGTCTAAGCAACTCAAAGAAAAGCAACAACAGGAAAGACAAGATAAAAAGGGAGCTAAGAGTACTACACAAGAGACTAGAGCCATGGGGGGAGCAAGACCGAAGATTCTGGAAGACATTCGGTTATTCTGCTCTTTGCTCCAGAAAGATAAAGATGACGATTAAGTGTTTATCTTGGAATGTGAATGGGTTGAATTCAGCACAGAAAAGGAAGAAATTATTTGCATATTTGAAACAATTTAATAATGATATAATTTGTCTACAAGAAACGCATATTACAGTTCAAGATCAAAAATATTTGATAAACTCCAAATTAGGAACGCATTTTATATCTTCAACTTTGCAAAAAAAGAATGGTGTGGTTATTTATGTAAATAAAAAATTCTCGGCTAAAGTTATAGAAGCAGATGAAGATGGTAGGTTTGTAGCAATTGAATTATTTACAACAAACGGCCAAATTCTTCTGATTGGAATTTATGCTCCCAATCAACAACAGGATCATTTCTACAAAATGTTACATACTAAAATACTGCAATGGGATTATAGATCTATTTTAATCATGGGAGACTGGAATGGAGTAATTGACTCCAAATTAGATAAAAAGAGTTTGGTGAAGTCTAGGATTAGGCTACCACAGACCTTTTTTGATATGAAAGAAGATTTGGAATTAAAAGATATTTGGAGAATACACAATCCAAAAGAATTGGACTATACTTTTTTTTCAGATAGACATAGATCCTTCTCTAGGATCGATTTCATTTTGTTGTCAGATGATTTACTTGTTAAGACAAAAAGAACAAAGATTTTTCCAAGAACTTTGACTGACCATAGCCCAGTATGGATAGAAATTGAGATAGGCAAGACTGAGAGACGCTCTTGGAGATTAAATGAGAACTTGTTCAGATATGAAAAAAATATAATAGAACTTAAAAAGCACTTGAAAGAATTTTTTGAAATAAATTTGAATAAAGGCACCCCAATAGAAATTGTGTGGGATGCAAGCAAAGCTTATATGAGAGGGGTGCTTATCTATATGAACTCTAAACATAGACTGATTCGACAAAAGAAAAGATCTGAATTGGAAGCAGAAATAAAGAATAAAGAACAGTTACTTATTAAAAATCCAACAGATGAAAGAATATGTGGTGCTATAAAACTTCTGAAAGACCAATTTCAAATGCTTATGGCGGAACAAGTTGCAACAAACTTACAATATGCGAAGCATAATACATTTTGTAACGCTAATAAACCGGGCAGATGGTTGGCCTATACATTGAGGAAAAAACAGAGTATACGGACTATTGATAGTATTGATATTGGAGGGAAAGAAATTTTTCAACAAAAATTAATTAAAGAAGCTTTTGTGGATTATTATACTAAATTATATGCTAAAGAGGATGTGCAGAATGGACTTATAGAAAAATATCTAGATGATAAAAGAGTTATAAAAATTACTGACCAACAAAAGGAAAGAATGAATTATCCTATAACAGAGGAGGAGATAATAGTAGCAATTAAACAATTAAAAACAGCTAAAGCTCCTGGTACGGATGGCTTGACTGCAGTCTATTATAAAACTTTGCAAGTCGAAATGGTGGAACAACTTAGAGATCTATTTTGCAATATTCAACAAGGGGGTAAAATACCCCCATCATGGAAAACAGCTTACATATCTTTGATACCAAAAGAGCAAGCCGGTCCTAAAAAACCAGAGAATTATAGACCAATATCTCTTCTGAATTCTGATTATAAAATTTATGCGAAAGTATTAGCCAACAGATTGATGCCAGTAATTCAAAAGGTGATTCATGATGATCAAGCGGGATTTATCGAGGGTAGATACATGAAGGACAATGTAAGGCAAGTAATAGATCTATTGGAATATCTTGAGAAGAATAAACAGATCCCTGCAGTGCTGGTTTTCTTGGATGCAGAGAAGGCCTTTGATAGAGTGGATTGGAATTTTCTACTAAAGACTTTTAAAAAGATGAACTTTGGGGATCAATTTGTACAGGCGATTTCAGCAATTTATCAAGAGCAAAAGGCACAGATTATTATTAACGGAAGCTTGACAACAGAGTTTAAAATTGAAAAAGGAACAAGACAGGGATGTCCGCTGTCCCCACTTTTATTTATTTTAACACTAGAAATCTTGTTAAATACAATACGGGACTCTAATATCTTGAAAGGTATAACGATAAGGCAAGAGGATTACAGAATAAAGGCATTTGCAGACGATCTAGTTGTTACCCTAACACAGCCAATGGAATCAATAATCCTGATGAAGGACATTATACAAGACTATGGTAAAGTTTCAGGTTTCAGACTGAATCACAAAAAGACTAAGATGATAGTTAAAAATATGACACAAGATCGTAAACACGAGCTTGAAAGGAGGGCAGGTTTTGAGGTTGTACCAAGGGTAAAATATCTAGGAGTCCAGGTTGCAGAATCAAATATGAAATTGTTTCAAAATAATTATGAGGTGTTGTGGCGAGAGGTGCAGAAAGATATGGAGACTTGGAAAAAACTGCAACTGTCTCTACTTGGAAGAATAGCAGCAGTTAAGATGAACATTTTGCCAAGATTCCTTTTTTTTGTTTCAAATGATTCCGGTGCTTAAAAGTGATAAACAATTGAAAGTGTGGCAAGCTGGAGTGAATAAGTTTGTCTGGAACGAGAAAAAGCCAAGAGTGAAATTGAAAATTATACAAGATGTTCCAGAAAGGGGAGGTCTTAAACTACCAAACCTACAGCTATATTATGATGCAGCAGCTTTGACTCTAACAAGTGATTGGTTTGGAAGGAAAAAGACTGGAATATTGAATGTAGAAAGTTTTGATCTTGAATTTGGATGGCATGCCTACTTATTTTATGATAACAAAGTCGACAAAGTATTTAAAAGCCATATACTTAGAGATTCTTTGATGAGAGTTTGGAAGAAGCACCGATTCAAATGGGATTATAAAATACCGCTATGGCTGGATCTTGGTCATACTTTGTGGAATACAAATATAATGTCACTCGGGGGGGTTTTATATAAAGAGGTTCTTTTTACTACAGACACTACAGACACTGTTGGCTGAAGGGATTAATATAACCTGGCTACAATATAATCAATTGTAATTGAGATGGAAAGAGGACCAAAAAACTGGTATTATGTTGCATGAGGAAGAATTGGTTAGACACATAAAAGAGAAAGGTCCAATGCATATTAAAAGGCTTTATAATGTTTTGTTAGAAAGGGATTCAGAAACCGAACTAGTTAAAGATTGTATGATTAAGTGGGCTCAAAATTTTGAAGAACCAGTGATGTTGGAAACATGGTAAAAATTTGGGTTCAGAACGTTAAATTTACACAGTCGCAGAATTTGAGGGAAAATTTCTATAAAATGTTTTATAGATGGCACTTAGACCCCAAAAAGTTATCATGTATGTACCCTAATGTTCAGCCAAAATGTTGGAGATGTGAATGCTTGGATGCTACATATTATCATGTTTGGTGGACCTGTAGGAAAGTTAAGGCTTTTTGGATAAAAATTTGGTGGGTTATGCAGAATGTTTTGAAGAAAAAAATTCAATTCTCTCCACAATTGTTTTTATTGGGTATAGTTAAGGGTTTTACATTGGGTGAAACAAAATTGATATTGTATATGATAACAGCAGCAAGATTGTTGATAGGTAAATACTGGAAGAACGAAGCTTTGCCCACTATTGAGGAATGGACTTTGAAGATGGCCAGTTTTGCAGAGATGGCGAAGATTTCAGCATACTTAAAAGATTGTTCACAAGCAACTTATGAATGGGAATGGAAAAAGTGGATAGAATATGTTCAGAACAAATATCAAACTAGGAAGTATCAAATAGCTTTTATTTGAAAATAATGTATTAGAAATATTTTAATGTAATGAAGATAAAAAGAGAAATTATAAGGGGGAGGGAGGGGTTCAAGTTTTATACAAGTTTTATACTAAGGGGGGTTTTGTATCGGATATGTGTATATTGTGTGGAAGTCTGGGGGGAGGGGAGGGTTAGGGAGGGTTAGGGAGGTTGGGAAGTTTGGGGTGGGTGGTGGTGGGGGAAAAGGGGTGAAAATGTAATTTTTAGTAAAACTTTTGCAATAAAAAAAATAATTATACAGTTTCTTTATTAATCTTTCATCTGTTCCTGTTAAAATTTTATTTAATTCTGTTGATTCTTCATAAAAATCCTGTGATTTTACATCTTTCTCATATCGAGAATGTATCTGCACTTGTGCATACTATGATAAATTGATTCCTTGCTCACTCATTTCCTCTTTCATTTTCAATTCCCCCTTTTCATTCAAAATGTCTTTGTACCTAACAATATTTCCCATATTAATAACATTTGGGTGGATGAATGCTTTCATTGTTGAAAGCCAGAACGGTATCCTCAAATAATGTTGTTCTTTAGTTTTCTCCCATACTATCATTAATGCAATTCTTATAGAATGTCTCTGAAAATATCCAGGTATCTTATTTTTCCCATACCACAGAAAAGCATGCCACCCCAGTTGTAAATCATGTCCTTCCAGAGTCAATAATCTTGTGTTTCTCAATACAATCCACTCTTTCATCCATGTTAATACCACAGTCTGGTAATATAGCTCCCAGTTTGGTAGTCCAAAACCACCTCTTCTTCTTATATCTTGCATCATTTTCAGGTCAATTCTTGCTTTTTTCCCTTGCCAAATATATTTGTGTATTATTTTATTAAGTTCCTCAAATATTTTTTCCCCAGTTTTATTGGAATTGTTTGAAATAAGTACTTGGTAGTATGTTCATTTTAATTGTTGCTATTCTCCCTACCAATGACAATTTTAGATTCTTCCACTTTTCCAGGTCTATTTGAATTTGTTTCAGCCACTTATAATAATTATCTTCTTTAATTGTTACACATCTTGCTGTCAACTGAATCCCTAGGTACTTAACTTTCTTTCCAATCTGAATATCTATTCTCTTTGTTAACTCTATTTTTTGCTTGTCTGCAATGTTTTTAACTAAAATCTTAGTTTTCTCTTTATTTATTTTCAGAACTGCCACTTCTCCATATTCTTCTATTTTTTTTAATTGATTTAGGCCCTATTACTAGTGGATCTTCCACAATAAAAGCTAGGTCATCTGCAAACGCCTGTAACTTGTACTGTTCCCTTTTAATCTCCATACCTTTTATCTCTGTATCTTGTCTAATGTTCCTGTTTAGTACTTCCAGTGTCAGTATAAACAATAATGGGGACAGGGGACATTCTTGTCTTGTACCTTTCTTAATGCTAACTTTCTCAGTCATGTCTTCATTTACCATTATTTTTGCTGTTTGCTTATTTTTATTTTTAATTTGATTTATATGCCGCCCTTCTCCAGAGACTCAGGGTGGCTTACAATGCGTTAAGCAATAGCCTTTATACTTTTATATATTTATACAAAGTCAGCTTATTGCCCCCACAAACTGGGTCCTCAATTTACCTACCTTAGAAAGGATGGAAGGCTGAGTCAACCTTGAGCCTGGCGAGATTCGAACTTACTTTAATTGCAGACAGCTGGTGTTAATCACAATGCTATCAGTCTGCTGAGCCACCAGGCCCGGTATATTGCCTTGATCATATTGACAAATCCCTCCCCAAAGTGCATCTTTTAAAACTGAATTAACATAAATTGCCAGTTCACATTGTCAAATGCTTTCTGTGCATCTAAAAAATCAGCACCATTTGTTTCTCTGGATGTGCTTCATAATACTCAAGTATTCAAGATTATTCTCATGTTATCTTTAATTTGTCTCTTAGGTCTCTTAGGTAAAAAAAATTGTCTCTTAGGTAAAAAAAAACATTTTGATCTGGATGTACAAATTGGTTTAAAAATTGTTTTAGTCTTTCTGCCATTATTGAAGCAAATATTTTATAATCTGTATTCAACAGGGATATTGGTCTGTAATTTTTTATTTGTTGTAGATCTGCATCTACTTTCAGTATAAGGGTAATATATGCTTCCATCCATGAATTCAGTACATTTGCCTCTAGCAAAAGTTCATTAAATATTTCCAACATTGGATTACCCAAAGTTTCTTGCAGCTCTTTATACAATTTTGCTGGTAGACCATCTGGTCCTGGTGTTCCATACTTTTGTCTCTTAATTGCTTCTGTTAACTCCATCATTGATATACGTACATCTAACATTGCTTTGACTGATTCAGGTATTTTAGCTAGCTCTGCTTTTTCTAAATATTGTTTTATTTTCTCTTGTGATATTGATTCCTAATCGTATAAATTCTTATAGTAACTTTGGATTGCTTTCTTCTTATCCTCATTTTGGTAGTAAATTTTCCCATCATTGTCCATTAACTTATCTATCAATTTCTTTTCTTTCTCTTTTTTCAGTTTATATGCCAGCCATCTTCCTGGTTTATTCGCATTTTCAAAAAAGTTTTCTTTAACACTTTTAATTTTCCTTGCTAAATCTTCTTTATCTATCAAGCTCAGTTTATGTTTCGTTAAGTCCATTTGATTCTTTATATCCTTTTTTTGTGGATCTTTTTGTAGTTCTATCTCTAATCTCTTATATTATTCTTCTAATGTCCTCTGGTTTTGTTTCTTCTTTCTGTTTAGTTTTTGCACTGTACGTTATAGCTAAACCTCTAATATAAGCCTTGGCTGCTTTGGCTGTGTCCCATACAGTTTGTCTTCTAATTTATCCTCTACTTTCCCTATTTTCTCTTTTACCACTTTAAATTCCTCATGCAATGCTTGCATCATTGCTTTCAGATCTGCATGCATAGCCTGCATGGCGGTCATTTTTTCTGGTTGTACTAAAGCATCTAATGTCCTCTGCCTAGAGGGACTCGAAGCAGCTGAAGAAGACGCTGACGTTGGTGCTGATATTTCCTCATCTTAAATCTTTTTAATATTTGTAATCCACAAGAAAAGGAAAAAGTAATAATCAACTTTAATCCAAGGATGAAAAAGGAAAAAAAAAATAGAAGCAGCAATGAAAAAAAGCCAAAAAACCAGAAAAGAGATCAAAAATAAGTTTTAATCTAAAAATCCAAAAAAGAGGAGGTGAAACCCCCGAAAGTTTTCAATCTTTTACCCTCTATCTTCTTGTTATTATTATTTTCTTCAGGTTCTTCTGACCTTAATCCTTTAATATTCCACCAAAAAAGGGGTGATATATCAATAAATTGTAATCCACATAGGCCCACCAATCCCAGTTGTTTTATAATCTTCAAGGGAGAGTTCACAAAGTTCACAGAGCCAGAAAAAAAAGAATAGGAATTGGGGGGGAAAGCCACATAGAAGCCTTTCTTATATTTGAGTTTCAAGAGCTGAGCTATTTAAAAATAAGACTTTAAAAAGTCTCAGTCTTATGCTCTCCACCTCAATTTTCAGTTTTCAATCTAACTAACTTAAGTCAACAAAGATATTCTAGCAGTCCATTCATATCTTGTTTACAGAATTCTCAAGGCTAAATCTGCTATTCCCAGCTTCCACTTCCAACTTCTGCTTCTCTCTCTCTTTCTCCTATCTTTTCTCTCTTTCCAGTTTGGACTTTAAAGGGAAGAAAGAAAAAAAAGAAAGAAAAAGAAAATAATAATATAATACAAAAATACAAAAAGGGCAGCTCTATTTATCCAAATATTGTTTTGGTCCAAAGTTCTCTACAGTCCAATAATATATTTGAGGCTCCTAGTCCAGCTTTTAAGTCCAGAATATTTTCACTCTTTTTCTAAAAGTTTTAACTTCCTGTTCCAAAATGGCAAAAGCTCTCCTTGCCGCTTTTCAGGGGAGGTGGGGGAGAAAACCAAATCCACCTCCTTTTAGAGCCCTCTTTACACCAGCTGTTTTTCCAGGGAACTTTCATCCCACTTCTAGCAAAGAAAAAACGAAATTGGAAAACTCTCATCCAGTTTCTCTCTTCAAAGCTTTCTTCCTGTGGCTGCCCCAGCTTCTGTCCCGCCCATGATGGCTGTCTCTTCCACTCCGTTGGCTTTGAGAGCTTTCAAATAGGGAGTTTGCAGACTGCCCATGACCTCCAGAGTGTGCTCTCTTTCTCAATCACCCCTCAGTGGATCGTTCTGACAATGTGGATTCAACGCTGCCCCTTGGAGCTTCCAAGAGACATGTCATCTCGCTGTGACTCTAGCCACGCCCCCAGTCCACCTCCTTCTTAAGCACTTGCAGTGGTGACCTTGATGGTTTCCAGATTCTCAAAATCTGTGCATAACTTCTCAGCATTCCATTCCAACCTTCCCTCCACTCCAGTTTATAAGCAAGGGTTTGAAAGAAGCAAAGTGGTTTAATCTTGATATGCCGACCTCTTGAAGGAAAGGGAAACCTAGAAAATATAAAACATAGATTAACACCATTACCTAGGTCAGTGGTAGACAACCTGGTCCCTACTGCCCACTAGTGGGTGTTCCAGCTTTCATGGTGGGCGGTAGGGGTTTTACTGAAGCACTTTCCTTTTTTTAAATTTAATTCACTTTTTAAAAAATTTTCATAGCATTATTTAAAAACATTTTCATTAGGTTTTCATAAAATTCCCCGTGACAATTTAAATTTCTGAAAATATACTATTTGTATCGCCCATGCATAAGTTTAGTTCACGTTACGTAAGTGAAACTAAATGGCGCTATATAGCCGGCGCTCCCCCCCCCAAACCCAATCCACGATGCGCGAGAGACATGCGCAGACGATGATACACAGCACAGGCTCTTTTGTTTGTGGTCGCACTGGTCAGTACGCAGTTAGATTTGTGAGAGTGAGCACGTACCTATAGCTTCAAACAAAATATTGTGAAATATTGTGAGCCCATGTCTCAAAAAAAGAAATAAGCTCGTGACTATTTGCCAGAGTATCTGAAGATGAGTTTCATAGAATCTGTTGTAAATAAACAACATCCAATGTGTTCATTGTGTCATAAAACATTATCCAATGAGGCAATGCAGCCAAGTTGATTGCGAGAACATCTTTCTACAAAGCATCCAAATGATAAGGACAAGCCGATTGAATATTTTCAGGAAATATATAAAAAATTTCAAAATCGTTCAACAATTGTTGCATCATTTAAGAAACAACATGCTGTGAACGAAGATGGATTAATTGCCACTTATCGCATTTCACAATTAATTGCAAAAAGTGGTAAAAGCTATAATATTGGAGAAACTGTAAAAATACCCTCTATAAAAGAATTTATCTCAACAGTAATGCATCAGGATATACCTGAAATTTTAAAAATGTTGCCCCTAAGCGATAGCACAGTAAATTGAAGAAATGGCAATTAATGTTGAAAAAAAACTTATAAGTACTCTCCAAAACTTCATTTTCCATGCAATTGGACGAGTCTACCATTGCAGATAATAATGCTTTATTGATGGCATATGTATGTTATTTTGGTGAAAACAATACATTACGAGAAGAAATGCTATTTGCAATAAATCTCATTGCAGATACAAGAGGATTATCTATATTTAATACTGTGAAATCATACTTTACAAAAAATAATATTCCTTTGAATAATATTGTTGCATGCGCTACTGATGGAGCACCCATCAATGATAGGTCGCTATCGTGGATTTGTTGCTTATTTGAAGGAAGAAGTGCCAAATGTTTTATGTATTCATTGTGTGATGCACAGACATCTTGTAGGAAAACATCTAAGTACAAGTCTCCATTCATCATTAACTGTAATAATTTGAGCCATAAACAAGATCAAATCCAATGCAAAAAATGATAGAATGTTTTGACAGCTTTGCCAGGACAATAATGAAGATTTTATTATGTTACTTTTGCACACAGAAGTTCGGTGGCTGTCAAAGGGTACATCTTTGGCTTGTTTTGTAGCATTATATGATAGTGTCATACAATTTTTTGAAAGTAATAATGAGACCAATCTGTGTCAATAGTTAAAAACGGTAAAGAATGATGCCTTTTATTTGGCAGATATTTTCAAGAGATTTAATGATGTCAATTTGCAGCTTCAAGGAAATAATAAAACTCTTATAGGTTGCCAAAGTATTGTGTCATTATTTATTGACAAACTTGAACTGGTTCGTTATAATCTATTGAAGAGAGAATTTCATCAATTTCCTGAATTATCATCTATAAAAGATGATGTAACTCCAGAGGATATTGACAGATTCAGTAGCCACCTCAATGAGCTTAAATTGGACATGGAAAAACGATTTGAAGATATTTTGAAATTGAAGGTGTATGACTGGATGAAAAATCCCTTTACCGCAAATATTGAAGAGGCTGATACAACTTGCCAAGAAGAACTGTTAGAAATTAGATATGATGAAGAAAGTAAACATAAATTTGATAGTGGTGGATATGAAAACCTATGGCAAAATAAAAAAATGCCTGTCTTATATCCAAATATGTGGGAAATGATATTCAGTTTATTGATACCTTTCCCTACCTCATATCTTGTGGAATCAGGCTTTAGTGCTGTTAATCATATTATGACCAAAGAAAGAAACCGCCTGAATATTTCCAAAAGAGGAGACCTTCGTTTGTTCCTTAAAAAAATTGAGCCAGATATCCAGTATTTAGTTTTGCAGCATCAGCCTCAGGGATCTCATTAATAATTTAATTAATTAAATGTAATTTCATCAGACTTCATGCTTCTATGTATGCAAAGTATAAATAAAAAGATAGATTTAACTACAGTAAATTGTTTTATAAAGATTTATTCTGCCAAACTTAGCGAAAGTCCGACATAAAGTATTTGGTAAGTAATTATTATTATATGCTTTAACTTGCTGTAACTCTGCTTTATAAATTTTAGAAAGTAAACTTACTTCCCTACTTTATAAATCACCATTACTGTGGAACCAGTGGGCGGTTAGAAAATTTTACTACTAACAGAGATACAAAAGTGGGCGGTAGGTATAAAAAGGTTGACTACCCGATCTAGGTAGTCTTAGCTTTCAACAATTTCCCTGGCCTTTGAGAGTATTTTGCATGGAACCTTCTTACTAATTTGTCTGCACTAATATTGTGGGCCCCTACCCACTCAGTGTCAGCTGAGGGATATCCTTTCCACTGCACTAGGTATTGTAATCGCCCCTTAAAATACCTTGAATCCAGTATCTTCTTGATCCTATAGTGTTTCTCACCCCCCACTACAATGGGAAGTAGAGGCTCCTCTTTGACTTGCCTTAACTTAGAGCCTTGGAAGGGTATCTAGACGCCCCTGTAACTACCTGTGCAGCTGCGTTCTGGACTAGCTGGAGCCTCTGAACACATCCCAAGGGCAGCCCCATGTAGAGGGTGTTACAATAGTCCAACCTAGAGGTAACGAGGGCATGAGTGACCGTGGCGAGGGCATCCCGGTCTAGAAAAGGGTGCAACTGGTGCACAAAACGCACCTGTGCGAAGGCCCCCTGGTTACAGCTGTCAGATGGTCCTCTAAGGACAGCCGAGAATCCAGGAGGACACCCAAGTTGCGGACCCTATCGGAGGGAGCAAGAGTTTCTCCCCCGATCATTAAAAATGGAACCTCCAGATCCCGGGATGCCAGCATCCACAGCCACTCAGTCTTGGAAGGGTTGAGTCTAAGTCTGTTCCTCCCCATCCAAATCCGCACCGCTTCCAGGCAGTGGGACATCACGGAAAGGGCATCCCTAGGGTGGTCAGGGGTGGAGATGTAAAGCTGGGTATCATCAGCATATTGATGATACCTCACCCCAAAACCATGAATGATCTCACCCAATGGTTTCATGTAGATGTTAAAGAGCAGAGGGGAGAGAACCGATCCCTGAGGCACCCCACAAGTGAGAGGCCTCTGGGAGGATCCCTGACCCCCCGCCCAAACAGACTGCAAGCGACCAGAGAGATAGGAGGAGAACTACTGTAAAACAGTGCCTCCTAACCCTATCCCCCTGAGCCGCTGCAGCAGGATACCATGGTCGATGGTATTGAAAGCCACTGAGAGGTCAAGAAGGACCAGGATGGAGGAACAACCCCCATCCCTGGCCCACCAGAGATCATTTACTAGGGCGACCAATGCCGTTTCCGTGCTGTGGCCACACCTGAAACCAGATTGGTAAGGATCGAGGTAGTCTGTTTCCTCCAGGAATTGAGGGAATTGCTGCGCCACCACGGACTCAACAACCTTTGCTAAAAAGCGAAGGTTGGAGACTGGACGGTAGTTGTAAGAACGTCAGGGTTCAGGTTAGGCTTCTTAAGGAGGGGTCGAACCACCGCCTCTTTGAGTGCAGCAGGGAAGACCCCTTCCATTAACGAAGCATTGACAACAACCTGGATCCAGTCTCCAGTCACCTCTCTGGCTGCTGAAACTAGCCAGGAGGGACAAGGGTCCAGTAAACACATGGAGGACCCCAGCCTACCCATAATCCTGTCCATGTCATCCAGCGAAACAGGCTCAAACTCAACCCAGATGTCTCCACCAAGACTAGCCCCCATCACCTCAACGGACTCTGTCCAGTTGGAGTCCAACCCGGTCCGAATCTGAGTGATTTTATCTTGCAGAAATTGTGCAAAATCCTCAGCACGGCCCTGCAAGGGGTCCTCCCTCACTCCCTGATTAAGGAGGGAGCAGGTCACTCTAAACAAGGCGGCTGGGCGGTTTTCTGCAGATGCAATGAGAGTGGCAAAATAGTTACATTTCGCCACTTCCATCGCTACAAGATAAGACCTAATATGGGTTCCTAGTTGTGTTCGGTCGGACTCGGATTGGGAGGATCTCCAACCACCCTCCAGGCGTCTTTTCTGATGCTTCATTTCCCTGAGCTCCGCGGTGAACCAAGGAGCTGCCCGTGGTCTGCGTCGGATCAGAGGCCGCAAAGGCGCGATTCGATCCAGGGCCCCCACCGCATCCTGTTCCCAGGCCGCAACAAGGGCCTTGGATGAATCGTGGGCTAAGGAGGCGGGAAATGACCCAAGCTCCATCAGGAACCTTTCGGGTTCCATCAGGCACCTGGGGCGGAACCATCTTACCAGTTCTGCACCCCTGCGATGGGGGATGGCAGTGGGAAAGTCAAGCCTAAGGAGGGAATGATCAGTTCATGACAGAGGGTTGATAGATAAAGTCCCCTCCCCACGATCATTTATCCACTGTCCAGAGAGAAAAATCAGGTCGAGTGTGTGTCTTCCAATATGAGTTGGGCCCTGTAAAATCTGAGTTAGGTCCATGGCCATCATGGAGGTCATGAACTCCCACACCAACTCAGATGTCTCACCAGCCGACAGCAGCCAACGAATTTGCATGTTCTGCAGCCCTGTTAGTACTCAGATGAAAAGTTGAGCTAAGCCCTTGAGATGACTCTATCAACATTATAAACTCGGGGACTTCCGGTTTGCTTGCCTCCG